GCCGTCGTCGCCGTAGCCGTCGTCGTCGTCGCCGTGCGTCCGTGCGTCCATCCGTCCGTCAGGCTCGTCGTCGTCGCTCCGCGAGCTCAGCTCTGACAGGGTGCCGAGAATGGAGCTCGCTGGGCCGCGGAAGGGGGCCCGTTCCACGTCCGGGTGGGCTCCCGCGCCGAGCGGGCTCGGAGAGGAGCCGTGGAGCCGCCGTCCGCCGCCGGGCCTTGGAGGCAGCGGCCCCGAAGAGCTCCTGGCGCGGCGAGTCCCTGGCGGGGCTGCTGAACACGGACCAGGACACGGCGGGGCCCTGAGCCCCGTTGGCGCAGTCCTCGCGCGCGCGCGAGGGGATCCTCTGGGTCTGGGGGTCGAGAATCGAGCACCGAGGTTCCCCGAAATCCCGGGCTCGCCACAGCGCCAATTTTTTTTCCACGCTGCTGTCCTCTGGACGCCGCTCTGGGCTTCCAGAAACCTCTGGAAGCCTGCGGAGACATCCAGGGAAGAGGGGGCCAACGTGTTGACACATGCGCTGCAAGTGCGGAAACGGAAGGAGGGAGACAGAGCAAAGGCGGCGATGGCGGCGACGACGATTGCGGCGAGGACAGCGCTGGCAGCGTCGGCGAAAACCAAGACAGTAACGGCAACAGCGCCAGCAGGTGTGACAGCGGCGACGACGAACACGACGACGACGACGACGACGACGCCGACGACGACGACGACGACGACGACGACGACGACGACGGCGGCGGCGGCGGCGGCGGCAGCGGCGACGACATCGACGACGAGGGGGGGAGACATGGGGAGGCAGGAGGAGGCAACAGGGGGAGGCGAAGGAGGAAGGGAAATCTCCCCACGGTGGTGGTGATGATGAAGATGGTGGTGATGCTGAGGATAAAAACGATTAGGATACTGTTGATGATGATGGTGGTGGTGATGACAATGATGTTGATGATGATGCCGATGATGATGACGATGATGATGATGATGATGGTGATGATGATGAGAATGATGATGATGAGGATAGTGATGATGAGGGTGATGATGATGGTGGTGATGATGCGGGTGCTGGTGCGGATGCTGATGCTCATGATAATGATGCTGATGTTGCTGGTTTTGATGACAACGAGTATGACGATGACGCTGACGATGGCGATGACGATGGTGACGTTGACGATGATGTTGATGTAGATGTTGATGTTGGTGCTGATGCTGATGTTGCTGATGATGTTAACGATGATGGCGAAGGTGGTGGTGGTGGGTGCTGTCGATGCTGGTCCTGGTGCTGATGTGGGTGGATGTGATTGTGGTTTTGGTGACGGTAATGAAGATGGGGATCAAGATGAGGACGATAATGGTGATGATGACACTGCTGGAGCTGATGTTGTTGTTGAGGATGATGATGGTGATGATGGTAACGACGCTGATGATGATGATGATGCTGATGACGATGGTGGTGTTCAGGAGGGATGGTGATGATGATCATGCTGGCGCAGATGCTGCTGCTGATGATGATGGCGGTGGTGGTGTTGACGCTGGTACTGGTGATGGCGCGGGTGAATGTGATCGTGGCGCTCGTGATGGTGATTGTGTTTTTACCTGAGCTTGCGATGCTGACGAGGGTGGCGGTCGTGGCGATGGTGATGTGAACTACGATGAGGAGGAAGAGGAGGGGGAGGAAGACGACGATGAGAACGAGGGTGACAATGGGGAGAACGAGAACGACCATACTGGAAGGAGGAGGAGGAGGAGGAGGAGGAGGAGGAGGAGGACGGCGAGAACAAGCGGGATGACAATGAGGAGGAGGACAGGAGGAGAGGAGGAGTGAGGAGGGGAAGGAGGGCTTTGGGGAGGGAGGTGGGGCGACCGGGGAGAGAGAGAGAGAGAGGGAGGATGAGCTCCACCAGGCCTCCGGGATTCTCCCGCGGGGTTTTCGGACGCCCCCCTTTGTTATGGGAGGAAGCGGGGGGAGAATGAGGGCGGGGGGGAGGGGTGCGAGGGAAGCAGACGGTGATGATGATGATGATGATGATGATGACGATGATGATGATGATGATGATGATTATTATGATGACGATGGCGGTGACGATGATGATACGGATAATGATGATGGTGAAGATGACGATGATGATGATGATGACTTTTTCCCCCAACCACAAACCTTGGGGCCTCTCGGGTTCTCTTTCCATCGACGACACGAAGACATGGCTACTGAGCCCACCTCAGTGTGCAATCCTTACAAGATTAGAGCGCGAGCAGCACCAGCAAGCAGGCACGATCAGTTGCTAAGCCAGTGGCCCTTCGAAAGTCGTCCGATCGTTCGACCCGACAACAAAAGGAAAGAGTGGGCGGCGGTCCTAGCACAGCTTCCGTAACCTGCGCCGTGCTTCATCTGATAAATCAAGACGGCACGACGAACCAGACCACGAGCACGCGCCTGGTCGCACCACACGCTCGGGCAGGACTATCGGTCACAGAAGACAGAGAGGCGGCAAAGACAGCGAGCTTCGCGGAACCCACGCTCCGGGCGACGGGGGGGGCGGCGACAGCGCAAAGAGAGCAGCACCGACAGAAGCGAGGGACGCAAGAGAAGCAAAGGGGCAGAGACAGGCCACAGGGCAGGGAGAGAGCGATCCCCTGGCCAATGTCCAGGCAAGCTGCACTTTGGGATGACGCCGACACTGAAGGCGAATCCGAGCACGGACCAGATCTTCAGGAGGGATGGTCGTCCCCTCATGGGAGCATCCCTGGACAAAGAGAAACGCATCACACATGCTCGCACAGAGCAGACGACTGTTAAACAATGGCGGGGGGGCCACCAACGTCAAACAGTGGAACCAGGATTTTTCGCTGAAAACTGTGGCTAAACAGGGGGCGAGGACTAGGCTCAGCCGTCGAGATTCAGGACAGGCACGGTAATGTTCCAAAGAATCAATCGCCCCACTGGAATCGCATCGCCAGCGGCATCTATCAATTCCACTGTGGAACCTCGCGCTCGTACACACACCACGAGGGAGAATTCTCAAAATAGCAAGCCCGAAATAACAAGAACTGGCAGCAACGATCTCGAGGATACAGTGGACCGTCGCCGATACTTGCATAACCTCCACCCCAGGGGTCCATCGCTGGACTCGCTCGAATAGACAGCGAAGCGGGAGAGGAGTCGATGGTTGGGCCCTGGGCCGCGCCACAAGCTTCCGTCGGAACCCCCCAGCCCGGAGGAACGTACTACAGAGGGATACTTTCTCTTCCCAAGAGGCGATAATAGACCGAATATATGTGCACTGCCACCACTGAGACGCAATACGAGCGGGGTGAAAGTTTTCATGCAATCAGAGGTCCGTCAGGAACGTCCGAACTTTCTCAAAGACCCGAAAGGTATGGGCAAGACGAACTAGAGTGGCAACACCGACAACCGCAAGGTCGGGAAACTCAACTGATACACCAAGATCTTTCATGCGGGTACACATTACTCGGTTCAAGGAGAAACGTGGGCCCGCAGTCAGTTTCTGTTGCATGCTACTCTCACAACGCAGAATCGTTTTGGACACCAGGTAGAATTGCATCACGAACCGCAATACCGAGACAGCGAACACGACATACATGCGTATCGTCATAGCAAGACCAAGCCGAAGGCGACGAATCTCGATACACCGCTGGTGGTACTTACGAAGTGCCGTGTCCCATGCGAGCTGCCATCCCTCTGGGCCAATCTGACTGCCAAGGTATCGAGCGTGCCGCACAAGCTTGATATCAGGTGCACCGAGATGACCAAGCATACGTGTGATATGTCGTCTTGCTCGCGCAGTAAGAGACAACCCACAATGCACAAGAACACACTTCCCCAGGTTCAACCGAAGTCCGGTCCAGGCATCGAGACGTTGCAAGTGAGGGAGAAGCATCGGAAAATCGATACCGACATTACTCAGCCCAAACCGAAGATCATCAGCATACCCAAGAATCTGCCGAGGAAGACGAGAGGCTAGCCATCGCAGACACGGGTCAAGCGCCAGAGCAAAGAGCAGCATGCTAGACGGATCCCCTTGCCGAACTCCCCGCAACAGTCGAATCGCTCGGTGACGTTGTCCCCCAAAGCGAACAATACCAGAGTTATCCCGATAGAGCGCATCGAAGAAATCAGCCACCCCAGGATGTACATTCATCATTCGGAGAACGTGAAGAAGCCAGGAGACCGCAACACTCAGAAACGCGGCATGATGATGATGATGTTGATGATGATGATGGTGATGATGGTGATGATGCTGATGCTGATGCTGATGCTGATGCTGATGATGATGATGATGACGATGACGATGACGATGACGATGACGAAGATGATGCTGATGATGCTGATGATGACGACGACGACGACGACGACGACGACGACGACGATGATGATGATGATGATGATGATGATGAGCACGAGTACGATGATGATAATGAGGATGAGGAGGAGGAGCAGGAGTTGAAGAGGAGGAAAAGGAGGAGGAGGAGGAGGAGCAGGAGCCATGCGGAGGATGAGAGGAGAAGGATGAGGAGGAGGACGACGAGGTGGAGAGGAGAGGGACGAGGAGGTTGAATGTGTGAGGGCAGACTTCCCTCCCTCCTCTGCCTCCCCCCTCCTGCCTCCTCATGCCTCCTCCCGTCTCCCCGCATCGTTTTCTTTCTCTTCTGGCAAATGCCCGCCCCATCAGAGGTCTGATTTGCACTCGGCGCGTCAAATACGAAGCTGGGCAGTCAGAAAAAATTCTGTGCGAAAGCTTACCTGACAATGATAAAGGACGCAACTACTGTGCACATTGTACACAGATCGCTGACATGCTTACAACGCTGGCCCTACGAGACACGGCTTGAGTGCTAGCCAACCGCTTGCCCAGAGAAAGCTGGCCGACTCGAAAACGGATATTCATCTCTCAAAATTAACTTGAAACTGAATTACGAAAACCTGGAAATCAAATACGCATGACCAACAGGATACGTGAAACGGTTGTGTCATCTAATGGGTCTGGGAACAATCAGCTCAACTCCTTCTTCTGCCAATTGAAGCTGGCTGCCTGGACGGAGGACTCGCCGGTGTAGCCGAGCTTCTCCTTCCAGCCCGGGTAGATCTGGTCCGCATCCTTCTGGAACGTCAAGAACGCGCCCTTGAGCTCCTCGTGCGTCTTCGCGTACTCGACGACGCCGTCCGACAGGCTCACGTCGCCGTAGGTGCCTGCCTTCCACAACTTCCACGACTCCTCGCCCTGGGCGCACGAGATCGCACCCTGCTTCGGCCCGTCCTTGTGCCCGAAGGCCCCGCCGCCGGCCGTCAGGATAACGTTCGAGTGGCCCAGGTTCTCGAAGAACGCAGGCAGCCGCAAGGCGTTCATGCCACCCGAGATGATCGGGGTGGTCTGCTTCATGCCCTCCCACTCCTGGCGGTAGTAGGGGCCATCGGCGACGTCATCTTGCAGCATGAAGCCGATGTTCTTGTCCGAAGCGTCGCCCTCCATCTTGCCAAAGCTCATCGTGCCCGTGTGGATGCCGCTGGCACCGATGACGCGCGACAACTTGGTGTGCACGAAGGCGGTGTACCCGCGCTGCGTCTGCGGGCTGGTCACTGCGCCGTGGCCTGCGCGGTGGTAGTGCAGGAATTGCTTCGGGAAATTGCGGCGCGCAACGGTCACCGCAGTGCCGCCAGCCACGTAGCCGTCGACCAAGAAGGCGCAATTCTCCGCCATCGGGCCCATCTGGTTCAAGATGTACTTGGCACGTGCGATCATCTCATTTGGGTCATCCGCCGTAATGTTGGCGGAGAACAACTTGCCCTGGCCCGTTTCCTCCTGGGCCGCACGCATGGCCTTCACGACTTCTGGGATGCATTCGTTCATCTGGCAGAACGTCTGGTTGCCCTGCGGCTCATCGTTCTTGATGAAGTCGCCGCCCTGCCAGAAGCCATAGCACGCCTGGCCGAAGGGCTTCGGCTGCAAGCCGAGCTTGGGCTTGATAATGGTGCCGACCACCAGGCCACCGCCGACCGTGCCGCGGCCCAGGATGCGCCACATGTCGATCACGCAGCACGACGGCCCATCGAACAGGCGCAGGTACTGCGGCGGAAAATAAATATCATAGATCTTCCCGTAGTCGACGTCGCCCATACCCTGGTTGTTCCCGATGCTCAAGGTCAGCACGGAACACATCATCGCGCGGCCGTCGGTGATGTTGCGGTCGAACAAAGCCGTCGGGTAGGCGATCTTCATCTCCTCGTTCTCAGGATCGATGTAGTAAACGAGCGCGTCCACAGTCTTTGTGAAGTCGTCGGTGGTGCACACGTTCACGTTCGTGCCTGTAGAGGACTCCGCCGCGAAGTGCGCCGCAGTGGCCAGGTAGTCGTAGCCCGCCTTGGGCTTCATGATGTAAGCCACCAGCACGTGCTGGCCGTTCTTGATCAGGTCCTCCTCCGTCAGCGAGAGGTCCGCGTAGCGGCTCGACTGGTCCAGGGCCCGGCGCGTCACAGAGCTCGCTTTGCGAGCCTTGCTGGCGCCAACGAACGCCGCGGCCAACTCCTTCTTTTGCCAATTGAAGCTGGCTGCCTGGACGGAGGACTCGCCGGTGTAGCCGAGCTTCTCCTTCCAGCCCGGGTAGATCTGGTCCGCATCCTTCTGGAACGTCAAGAACGCGCCCTTGAGCTCCTCGTGCGTCTTCGCGTACTCGACGACGCCGACCGACAGGCTCACGTCGCCGTAGGTGCCTGCCTTCCACAACTTCCACGACTCCTCGCCCTGGGCGCACGAGATCGCGCCCTGCTTCGGCCAGTCCATGTGCCCTAAGCCCCGCCGCGGCGTCAGATAAGGTTCGATGGCCCAGGATCTCGAGCACGACAGGCAGCCGCGAGGGGCCGTCAGGAGCCACCCCGAGATGATCGGGAGCGTCTGCCTCATGCCCCTCCACTCCTGGCGTAGTAGGGCCCATTCGGCGACGTCATCTTGCAGCATGGAAGCCGATGTTCTTGTCCGAAGCATCGCCCTCCATCTTGCCGAAGCTCATCGTGCCCGTGTGGATGCCGCTGGCACCGATGACGCGCGACAGCTTGGTGAGCACGAAGGCGGTGTACCCACGCTGCGTCTGAGGGCTGGTCACTGCGCCGTGGCCAGCGCGGTGGTAGTGCAGGAATTGCTTCGGGAAATTGCGGCGCGCAACGGTCACCGCAGTGCCGCCAGCCACGTAACCGTCGACCAAGAAGGCGCAATTCTCCGCCATCGGGCCCATCTGGTTCAAGATGTACTTGGCACGTGCGATCATCTCGTTCGGGTCATCCGCCGTAATGTTGGCGGAGAACAGCTTGCCCTGGCCCGTCTCCTCCTGGGCCGCGCGCATGGCCTTCACGACTTCGGGGATGCATTCGTTCATCTGGCAGAACGTCTGGTTGCCCTGCGGCTCATCGTTCTTGATGAAGTCGCCGCCCTGCCAGAAGCCATAGCACGCCTGGCCGAATGGCTTCGGCTGCAAGCCGAGCTTGGGCTTGATAATTGTGCCGACCACCAGGCCACCGCCGACCGTGCCGCGGCCAAGGATACGCCACATGTCGATCACGCAGCACGACGGCCCGTCGAACAGGCGCAGGTACTGCGGCGGAAAATAAATATCATAGATCTTCCCGTAGTCGACGTCGCCCATACCCTGGTTGTTCCCGATGCTCAAGGTCAGCACGGAACACATCATCGCGCGGCCGTCGGTGATGTTGCGGTCGAACAAAGCCGTCGGTAGCGAATCTTCATCTCCTCGTTCTCAGGGTCGATGTAGTACACGAGAGCATCCACCGTTTTAGTGAAATCATCGGTGGTGCACACGTTCACGTTCGTGCCCGTAGAGGACTCCGCCGCGAAGTGCGCCGCAGTGGCCAGGTAGTCGTAGCCCGCCTTGGGCTTCATGATGTAGGCCACCAGCACGTGCTGGCCGTTCTTGATCAGGTCCTCCTCCGTCAGCGAGAGGTCCGCGTAGCGGCTCGACTGGTCCAGGGCCTGGCGCGTCACAGAGCTCGCTTTGCGAGCCTTGCTGGCGCCAACGAACGCCGCGGCCAACTCCTTCTTTTGCCAATTGAAGCTGGCTGCCTGGACGGAGGACTCGCCAGTGTAGCCGAGTTTCTCCTTCCAGCCCGGGTAGATCTGGTCCGCATCCTTCTGGAACGTTAAAAACGCGCCCTTGAGCTCCTCGTGTGTCTTTGCGTACTCGACGACGCCGTCCGACAGGCTCACGTCGCCGTAGGTGCCTGCCTTCCACAACTTCCACGACTCCTCGCCCTGGGCGCACGAGATAGCGCCCTGCTTCGGCCCATCCTTGTGCCCGAAGGCCCCGCCGCCGGCCGTCAGGATAACGTTCGAGTGGCCCAGGTTCTCGAAGAACGCAGGCAAGCCAGCCTGCAAGGCGTTACGATGCCACCAGATGATCGAGGGGTGGTCCTGTGCTTCATGCCCTCCCCACTCCCCTGCGTAGCTTCCGCCATCTGCGGACGTCATCTTGCAGCATGAAGCCGATGTTCTTGTCCCGAAGCGATCGCCCTCCATCTTTGAAAGCTCTCAGTGCCCCGTGTGGAATGCCGCTGCACCTGATGACGCGCGACAACTTGGTGTCACGAAGGCGTGTAGCCCGCGCTGCGCCTGCGGCTGGTGACTGCGTCCGTGGCCCGCGCGTGTAGTGCAGGAATTGCACATCGGGGAGAATTGCGGCGAGCAACGGTCAACCGCAGTGCCCGCCAGCCACGTAGCCGACGACCAAGAAGGCGCAATTCTCCTCATTCTCGCCATCGGGCCCATCTGGTTCAAGATGTACTTGGCACGGGCGATCATCTCGTTCGGGTCATCCGCCGTAATGTTGGCGGAGAACAACTTGCCCTGGCCCGTTTCCTCCTGGGCCGCGCGCATGGCCTTCACGACTTCGGGGATGCATTCGTTCATCTGGCAGAAAGTCTGGTTGCCCTGCGGCTCATCGTTCTTGATGAAGTCGCCGCCCTGCCAGAAGCCATAGCACGCCTGGCCGAAGGGCTTCGGCTGCAAGCCGAGCTTGGGCTTAATAATGGTGCCGACCACCAGGCCACCGCCGACCGTGCCGCGACCCAGGATGCGCCACATGTCGATCACGCAGCACGACGGCCCGTCGAACAGGCGCAGGTACTGCGGCGGGAAATAAATATCATAGATCTTGCCGTAGTCGACGTCGCCCATACCCTGATTATTCCCGATGCTCAGGGTCAGCACGGAACACATCATAGCGCGCCCATCAGTGATGTTGCGATCGAACAGAGCCGTCGGGTAGGCGATCTTCATCTCCTCGTTCTCAGGATCGATGTAATACACGAGCGCGTCCACAGTCTTTGTGAAGTCGTCGGTGGTGCACACGTTCACGTTCGTGCCTGTAGAGGACTCAGCCGCGAAGTGCGCCGCGGTGGCCAGGTAGTCGTAGCCCGCCTTGGGCTTCATGATGTAGGCCACCAGCACGTGCTGGCCGTTCTTGATCAGGTCCTCCTCCGTCAGCGAGAGGTCCGCGTAACGGCTCGACTGGTCCAGGGCCCGTCGGGCCACGCTGGCGCGCGAATGGACCGGAACAACGCACGAGGCCTGGCCGGCCGCCAGCTTGCTGGCGCGACCGCGGCGCTTGGACCCGACCGCCGCGGCGATGGCGGCGGCGGCCGCGGGCGCTGCCAGGGCTGCCGCTCCCCCCGTGGGGCTGGGCTGCTGGGCGTGCGCGGCGCCGCGGAGGGCGGGGGCCGCCTCCGCAGGGGAAGCCTGCAGCGTCTCCTCGAAGGCGGCGCGAGGCGGAACCTGCGAGGACACGAAGGATTGGCCGTGCTTCAAGCAAGCGACGGCCGCCAGGCCAGCGGCAGCCCCGAGTGAGGCGCGTTGTGCCATGGCGCGGGTAGGGCCGAGCCGAGCTCGCACGGTCGACAAGCTGGCTCTACAGAAATTGCCTCAGCCAAAACGGCTTGAGTCAAAAACACTTGAGCCAAAATGGCTACGGACTCCCGTCTCCCCGCATCGTCGTCGACGTCGCCGACGCCGCCGCCGCCGCCGTCGTCGTCGTCGCCGTCACCGTCCTTCTTACCATCACCATCACAATCACCATCATAATCACAATCACCGGCACCATCACCATCACCATCATCAGCCTCATCCTCCTCATTCTCCTCACCCTCCTCCTCCTCCTCCTCGTGCTCATCATCGTCCTCCTCATCATCATCAGCAACATTAAGATCATCATCATCATCATCACCACCACCACCATCACCACCACCCCATCATCATCATCATCATCACCACCACCACCACCACCACCAACAACCACCATCATCATCATCGTCATCATCATCAATCATCATCCCATCCACCACAACACCACCACCATCCACCACCCCCCCCCCCATCCACACCACCACCCACCACCACCACCATCATCATCATCATCATCGTCATCATCAAATCAAATTCATCATCACCACTCACCACCAACCAACCACCACCACCACCATCATCATCACCACCACCACCACCACCACCATCAACACATCGTCATCATCATCATCGATCATCATCATCATCATCAATCATCATCAATCAATCATCATCATCATCATCATCATCATCATCATCATCATCATCATCAATCATCATCATCATCAACACATCATACATCATCATCATCATCATCATCCAAACACACATAAGTCATCGTCATCGTCATCGTCCACATCGTCATCGTCAATCGACCAATACGCATCGTGAGAGTGCGTGATCCAAACCGCCGCTTGACTGTGGAAAATTCCCCCCCTCTTCTTCCGGGACCCGGGAGTCCCCCCCTCCACCTCCGAAAATCCCCCCCCTGCTGGACCCCCCCCCTCTCCCCCCGGCAAAACCCCCCCCTTCCCCTACCCCCCCCCCTCCCCTCCAGAAAACCACGGGGATTGGGGGGGGTCACTACCGTTCGAAAACCCCTCCCCCCACCCCCCCAGAAAACCAGAGGAAGGTCATACTACCAGTTCGAACCCCTCAGCCCTCCTCCAGAAAAAAAAAAAACCGGGGGGGTCAACTACCGGATCGAACACCCTCCCCAGTCTCCACCACCCCTCGAAAAACACGGGGGAGTCACTAAAATAACTGGTTCGAACCCCCCCCCCCTCGAAAACTGGGGGGGTCACTAACGGTTCGAACCCCCCCCCTCCCCCTCGAAAACCGGGGGTGGTCACTGCCGGTTCGGACCCCTCACCCCCCACCTCACCGCCAGCAAACGACTCCAGGTCCCTGACACCGTCCGCACCACCTCCCCCCATGCTGTTCCCAGCACCACTGTCCTCACCACCACTGTCCCCACTGGTTCCACCACCGTCCCTACTGTCCCCACCAGTGCCCCCACCACTGTCGCACTGTCCCCACTGCCCCCACCACTGTTCCCACCACGGTTCCACTCTCCCCACTTTCTCCACGGCCCCAACCACTGCCCGACTGTCCCCAATGTGCCTAATGTGCCACTGTCTCCTCCGCTGTCCCACTGAGCTGTCCCACTGTTCCCACCACTGTCCCCAGCACTGTCCCCACTGTACCTCTGTCCCATTGTCCTGTCCCACCGCCGTCCTCGCCACCGCCCTCACCACTGTCCCCACCACCACTGTACCCTCCACTGTCCCACTGTTTCCACCACATTCCCACGGTCCCCACACCACTGTCCCCACCACCACCGTCCCCACCACCACCGTCCCCACCACTGTCCCACTGTCACCACTGTTCCCACCATTGTCCCCGCTGTCCCCACCAGTGCCCCCACCAGTGTGTCAATGTCCCCACTCTCCCCACCATTGTCCCACCACGATCCCGCTCTCCCCGCTTTCCCCACGGTCCCCACCACTGTCCCACTGTCCCCATTGTACCCACTACTGTCCCACTGTCCCCGCCGCTGTCCCACTGTGCTGTCCCAGCGTCCCCACTGTCCCCATCACTGTCCCACTGTCTCCACTGTCCCCACCACTTTCCCAACTGTGCCACTGTCCCACCACTGTCCTCACCACCGCCTTCACCACTGTCCCCACCACTAGCGTCCCCACCACTGTCCCACTGTCCCCACCAGTGTCCCGCTGTCCCCTCACCACTGTCCCCACCACCACCATCCCCACCACCACCGTCCCCACCACTGTCCGCATCCCCCCCCGGGTTTTCGAGGAGGGGGGGGGTTCGAACCGGTAGTGACCCCCCCCAGTTTTCGAGGGGGGGGCGGGGTTCGAACCGGTAGTGAACCCCCCCCCTTTTCATGATGGACTGGGGGGGAGGGGTTCGAGCTGGTAGTGACCCCCCCCGGTGTTCCGAAGGGGGGGGGGAGGGGGGAGGGGGTTCGAACCGGTAGTGACCCCCCCCGGTTTTCCGCCAGCAGCGGTAGAACACGCTCTTTCCGACATCGACATCGACATCGTCAGCATCATCCTCATCGTCGTTGTCATCAACATCATCATCATCATCATCATCATCAGCATCATCATCATCATCATCATCATCATCATCATCATCATCATCATCATCATCATCATCATCATCATCATCATCATCATCATCATCATCATCATCATCATCATCATCATCATCATCATCATCATCATCATCATCATCATCATCATCATCATCATCATCATCATCATCATCATCATCATCATCATCATCATCATCATCCCAATCAGAGCTTGCCTCTGCAGGGGTCCTAGCGGACTCATATGGCTAGGTGAGGTTCGTAGCCGATTTCGGTGGCCGGTCGGGGTGCCCGGGTGCCTGGGGGGCCCGGGGTTCCCGGGTGCCCGGGTGCCCGGGTGCTCAGGTGCCCGGTAGCCCTGTAGTGCTATAGCCCTATAGCAATATAGCCCTATAGCCCTTATAGCCCGATAGCCACCCAGCCCTATGGCCCCATAGCCGTATAGCCTTATAACCTTCTAGCCCTATAGCCCTATAGCCCTATAGATCTACAGCCCTATGGCCCCATGGCCTCATAGCCTTATAGCCTTATAGCCCTATAACCCTATAGCCCTATAGCCCTAGGGCCCATAGCCCTATAGGCCTATAGCCCTATAGCCCTGTAGCCCTATAGCCCTATAGCCCTATAGCCCCAGAGCCTTATAGACCTATAGCCCTACAGCCCTATAGCCTATAGCCCCATAGCCCTATAACCCTAAAAAGATCATGATTGGGGCTTGTCTCCGGTATCCTTATTGCTGTTGTTTACTATTGGCATCATCATCAATACCAGATCCAGCATGTCATAACCATCGTCACCATGACCATCGCAATGATCACCATCTTCGCTATCATCCGACAGTCAGGCTCCCCTGCGCAAGATGGTACCCAACGCGATGCACCAAGCAAACCTGGAGCCACGCGAAGACCAACCCGCAACAGGCGAGCCCGCGCGCGGAACATTAGCTTGCGCAGCCAAATCGCACAGCTGTATCATAAGACGGACGAGGACAAGGAGGAGGGAGGAGGAGGGAGGAGGAGGGAGGGAGGAGGAGGAGGAGGAGGAGGAGGAGGAGAGGGGGAGGAGGAGGAGGAGGAGGGAATGGGGAGGAGGAGGGAGGAGGAGGAGGAGGGAGGAGGAGGGGGGAGGGAGGAGGAGGAGGAGGAGGGAGGAGGATGTAGGGGAGGGGAGGGGAGGGGAGGAGGGGGAGAAAAGGAGGAGGAGGGGGGGGGGGGAGGGGGAGGAAGGGGAGGAAAAGAGGGGCGGAAAAGCGGGCATCGTCATCTCCACCACCACCAAACCACACCACCAATCATCACAATCACCATCATCATCATCATCCATCATATCACCACCACCATCATCACTCATCAGCCTCATCATCATTATCAGCATCAGCATCAGCATCAAGCATCATCATCATCATCATCAATCATCATCATCATCATCATTCATCATCATCATCATCATCATCATCAGCATCCTCATCATCATCAGTATCATGACCACCATTATCGGCATCATCATCAGCATCATCATCAGCAGCAGCAGTACCAGCCTCAGAATCATAATAAACATCGTCGTCGTCGTCATCATCAGCAGCAGCATCAGAATCATCAGCATCATCAGCATCATCGTCAGCATCATCATCATCATCATCATCATCAGCATCATCATCATCATCATCATCATCATCATCATCAGCATAAGTATCATCATCATCAGCATCATCATCATTATCATCATCATCATCAGCAGCAGCAGTATCAGCATCAGCATCATCATCATCAGAATCGTCATCACCATCATCATCAGAATCAGCATCATCATCATCATCAGCATCAGCAACATCATCATCAGCATCATCAGCATCATCATCATCACCAACACCACCACCAATATCATCATCAGCAGCAGCATCATCAGCATCATCATCATCATCAACATATTCATCATCATCAGCAGCGTCATCATCATCAGCAGCATTGGCATCATCGGCATCATCAGCATCATCAGCATCATCAGCATCATCATCAGCATCATCACCACCAGCATCATCACCACCGTCATCCTAGAAACTATCAGAGCATCCAGAACCC